TGAGAGCTTCCAGCCCCAGCTGCCTTGAGGATCAGAGACAAACCACCCCAGCTGGGTCCTTTTCAAATTTCTGACCCACAAAATCATGACCAGAATAAAATACTTGTCTTCAACGACTAAGTTTTGGGATAGTTTGTTACACAGCAACATATAATTGGAACAGTAAATGTATAAATGTTTTACAAAATTATAAAACAAATTAAAGTGAAAACCTCAATCTCTAAAAATCCAAAGCAAAAGTTAAACAAGTGATTCTAACCATGTATAAGTTGGCGGCATCACCACACAGAAGAGTTACTGCAAATGACTTGAAAGTTCAGTAATTTGTACATCCCTAGTGGATATATCTGAAGATCAAAAGAACTGCAAAGGACTCTTAAAGAGTTTTCAGTAATCATATCACTTATAATAGTATTTTTATATTACTCTGAAACTGTTATTTAAATGTCAAGGGATAGAGTAAATAATACTATATTGATGTCATTAAGGATAAAGAGAAACGAGATCCTATATAATAGAAGGCTAATATGCAAATCGACCGAACGGCAGAATGACTGGTCGCTATGATGCACACTGACCACCAGGGGGCAGATGCTCAACGCAGGAGCTGCTCCCTGGTGGTCAGTGCACTTCCAAAGGGGGAGCACCGCTCAGCCAGAAGCCTGGCTCATGGCTGGCAAGCGCAGTGGCAGTGGCAGGGCCTCTCCTGCCTCCACTGCAGCGCTAAGGAGCAGCAAGCCCAGTGGTAAGGAGCAGCCAGCAGGCAGGCAGTAAGGAGCAAAGAGTCCGAGACTGCGAGAGGGATGTCCAACTGCAAGAGGGCACTGGCCGGGCTGAGGGGACCACCCTCCCCCCCAAGTGCACGTATTTCATGCACTGGGCCTCTAATATAAATATATCAAGGTTGATAAGTAAAAATATTGTGATACTAAATACAAATTGGTCATGATTATTTTGATTTAAATAATTTCTTTTTCTGAATCTGTTCACTAAAATAATGTAGACATAATAACCGACCTGGTAGCAATGAATACCCTACACCCTGGAGAATAGCTGTTCCTGATATGGGATCAAAAATGTGCAAGTTGAGCCTAGGACATATTGCCCAACTCCAAAGCAAGAAAGCTGCAAGCTTACAGAGATGCACAGGCCCCTTTAAACAAGGTGCTGTCACTATTCCTCAATGGTTCCTCATGCCTTTAGGATAAAAGTTTAAAATTCTATAAGATCTCAGTGCTTTGGGCTCTACCTCAGCAGCCTCATGCCATGCCACCCTCTATCTCACTCACTTCAAACCATTTAGCTCCTTGAATATGCCTCCCTCCTACTTACTTCATGACCTTTGTGCTGTACCCTCTACCCGGAGTGCTCTTTCATCCCTTTTTTGCCCAACCCATGTCACTCACTTATATAGTTTGGGATAAACCCCAATGATCAGCCTGACCCCTTGAGTGAATTTTAATTCTGTCAAATATACTTCACCAGGTCCTAAGATACTCAGCTGAACATTCTGCTGGTCATAGCACAAGAAGAAGCTGAAGAGTTGCATGAGGAGAAATATAATGGTTTTTGCTTCTATCATGACAAGTCCCTCCTTTGCAACATAAACTTTGGGGTACCCAGAACTAGCTCGGGAGGTGGGAAACACATACCTTTTTCTGCATTCTGGAAAGCAAAATGGTGGTGGGTTGAGGCGCCACTTCCCATGGTATAAGAACAATGTTTCTTCAGGGCTCAGATAGCAAGTCCAAGGAAAAGTGAATTGTTTGCTGACAAAAGAAAGAGGATATCTTCAATTGGGAGGTTCAGGCAGAGTATTAGTTCAGGTGCAGCAAATTATCTATGAACCTTGTCTCCCACATAATAAAAAAATTTGAGACTATCACCTCTCCAGTCTCAGTGCATGTGGTGTACCTCCCCTGAAAAGTCCCTCCATTTGTCAGTACATATCTCTCTTATGCTTTGTACTTTTCTACTAGCTTTTCCCTTACAGTCAAGAAACATACAGAAGTCTCCGCTCTTCTCAAAGAAGTCCATCATCACCATCATCATCGTCATCATTATCCTTTGACCTCCCATATTCCTCCAGCTATAACCCAACCTCTCTTTTCTTCACCTCCAGGAGTAGACTACATATTTTCTCCTTAATTCCTCTTCTGACTTTAGACTACTTTTTAGAGCAACTTGCTGTTGTCAGAACAGCAAGGCCATCTGCCTCCACAAGCCACCCCTTAATTATAATTCTACTCCTTGGGCTTCCATGAGGCCAGACCCCCTTGTATTTACTCCTGCCTCTCTATTTATACTTTCTCCTTTTTGAGCTCGTTTTTCTCTGTCCCTTTTTCAAATGTTGATTTTTATTTGTAATCTAGTCTCAAATGTCAGCTCTCACTCTGTACAAACTCCCTGGATAATTTAATTAATTATCACATTTTTCAACTATCAATTCCCACCTCTCCAATTCATCTAAGGCCATCCCTAAACAACAGCCCCATATACCCAGCCTCCTGCTAAACTTTCACTGGAGTGTCTTGGATTCCATGTATCACAAATAGAACTCATCTTCTCAAAAGCCTACTTTTCCAGCCTCATCTCCTTTCTTTAAACTCAGCGCTTTGACCCCCGGACCTTTGTGGTTTTGCTCTTACCTGGAATAATCTTCCTATCCCATCCTTTCTAACTTGTCCAACTCGACTCATTCCTTAAGGCTCACCTTAGGCATCACCTCTCTTAAGGAAGCCAGTTGGACATGCCCGCTTCTGAGCTCCTGAATATCCTATTCCCATCTTCATCACTATAATACCATATTAAAAATTCCTACTTTGTGTCTTTCTACCATTGGACTGTGAGCTCCCTCAGAGCAAAGACTGGGTGTGTGCAAATTCACCATTTTTATATCCAGGACTTAGCATGGTGCCTGACACTAATAGGAATTCAATAAATATTAATTTAATTAACTTTATGCCATATTAATTTTTATACAACAAAGATGAATCTTTCTCTACCTCTTCTTCAGGAATCAATGTGAGATGTACTGACAATGTCAACAGTGGATTTCATTTCAATATTTTCTTCCCTCCCTCACTTCTACCTCACTCTCCTTCCTCTATTTTTGAAGGTTATTATATTGGGGATTGTCAACAAATTATCTTTTTCTTTGCAAATCGAAATGAAAGGCCCACCTTACTTTTGTTGATTGACTTTTAAAAAATTAATATTCAAAGAAGACTATAATTTCTTTTCTTGTGAGCAAAATTGTTTCCAGATATAAGAGTTGTCATGTAGTCCTAGCCAGTGCTCAGTCGTTAGAGCACCGGCCCATGGACTGAAGGGTCTCAGGTTTGATTCTGGTTAAGGGCACATACTTCAGCTGCAGGTTCGCAGTCCCAGGTGGGGACACATGCAGGGGGCTACCAATCGATGTGTCTCTCTCACATCGATATTTCTCTGTCTCTGTCTCTCCCCTTCCTTCCACTCTCTCTAAAAATCATTGAAAAAATAGCCTCAGGTGAGGATTAACAAAAAGAAAAAAAGAAAGAAAGAAAAGATGTCATGTGATCAGAATCTGAGCAGGAGGTAAAGTGAGAAGCCATCAGGAACAAATCAACCAAACTCCCCACACACTTTTAGAGCTGGAAGGGGCATCAGCAATGATTGAGTCTGCCAGTGACTCATAACTGCTTTGATAATTAGTAAACTCCCTAGAGAGCCATGTTGTATATTGAAGCCGTTGGATTTTGTAAGTGCATAGATGGGGTGGAGAATTACAACTCAGCTTCTCACTAGATCTTAACCATTTAACCTCTCCGTTTTCTCACTTATCTATTACTGAGAAAAATAAATATGTTTAAAGTGTTTTTAATATACAGTAGAACCTCAATATATGGACCGAATCTGATATTATATTTATTTTAAAATATTAAGAATTTAAAATAAAACACATCCCTGGCTCAAATTTAGGAGGCAGTATAAGACATACTATCTCAATGCAGCATTGTTAGGAACTGAGTGTCAGGGCTCCCCTAACCTATATGTTGGTATCCTAACCTCCAATGTCATTGTATTAGGAGGTGGGGCCTTTGGAAAGTAATTTAGTTTCGATGTGGTCATGGAAGTAGAGCCCCCATGATGGCACCAGTGTCCTTATAAGAAGAGAAACCAGAGCGCTCTCTCCTTAAGGGGAAGGCGGCTATCTGCAAGACAGGAAGAGAGCTCTCACCAGGAACCAAATCTACTGGCACCTTGATCCTGGACTACTCAGCCTCCAGAACTGTGAGAAATAAATGTCTGTTGTCTAAGCCACCCAATCTATGGTATTTTGTTATAGCAGCCTGAGCTAAGCATAAACCGATGTGAAGGTTACTGAATATTGCTGGGTGAAGGCTTGTTGTTATCACATAAGTTCGCTTTTGCCCTTCAGATATCTTGTTCCTTATGTGCTTATAAATCCAAATACAGTGGTAGAATAAGACAAATCATCTATCCCATAAAAAAGTGTTGAAGGTAGAAATATGACACTGCTATAGAGTGAGAAAGTAATAACTCTCATGAGCCAAGAAACAGCTTGAAACAACCTCTAGGAGTGAAAGGAATAGTCTCCCATCAGGCAGCATATCCAGTTGTAACTAACTCTGGGTCCCCGAGGACAAAAGGGATGTGCTTTCATATATCGTGGGGGGAGCGGGGCGGGGTCCCCATCTGTTACTACAACAGCATAGATGCCTGGCTCCCTGCTCTGGGGCTCCAGTTCTCATCTGTTTCCCTGCCGTGTATGGGTCATGGTGACTCTATTTCGGGGTTGTTATGAGGGTGAAATAAGGTTACATATGAGGAGTACTTTGCAAAGTTTTTCATTGTCATTTAAAACATAGAGGAGCTTTTTAATTGACACTTTCAGAAATTTCTTTAAAATTGTCTTCCCTCAAATTAAAAGCACCTTAAATGGTTATCAGTACAGAGTTGACAAAATACATCATGGTAAATTAAAGACAATGGGATAGCATTTAGCCATGAGCAGCCATGACAAAGGCTAGTCTACATGGAATAGTATGAAAATATTTCCCAAGATAGTGATACATGAAGAAAAGCAAATTGCAAAACAGTATGCTTAATGTCGTCTCAGCTACGTAAAAAATATGCCCGTAAGTGTCTAATCAAAGAGTATACACCAAACTGTGAACAGTGATGGCCTCTGGAGAATGGGTGGGGTGGGAAGTTTTCATTTTTAACGTACATACTTCTATTATATCTTTTATAATTAAAAATCATAAACTATACGGAAAAAATAAAATAAAATAAAATTTTTTTAAAAAAAGACACTGACTACATAGGTATCACATTCAGCTGTGTTAAGATAAGAAAGTGAACCAAACTGGTGTGGCTCAGTGGTTGAGTGTTCACCGATGAACCAGGAGCTCATAATGGGGTTGTGGGCTCGACCCCTAGTTGGGGGCTGCCTTGGGGTTTGCAGGAGGCAGCTGATCAATGATTCTCTCTCATCATTGATGTTTCTATCTCTCTCTCCCTCTCCCTCTCTGAAATCAATACAAGTTTTTTTTTTTTAAAGATAAGAAAGTGATATTGTCTGCAGACCAGCTGAGAATGTTTTAGAAGTCATTAAGAAAAATGAAGAGGAAAGAGCAATAAAATAATTCTCAAGGCAAAAAGTGAAAACTTTGTAAGATCATGAAAAGTTAACTTGATCAGATTTTTGGATTATTCAGCACCTTTGGTAACCACTAGCTGTTTCTCTGCTGGTGAGGCCCCTGCCACGCCTGCTTCCCAGGTATCCAGCACATCTCCACTGCATGGTGGAGACGCCATGTCCCTCTAGGACAGTGGTTCTCAACCTTCTGGCCCTTTAAAGACAATTCCTCATATTGTGACCCAACCATAAAATTATTTTCGTTGCTACTTCATAACTGTAATGTTGCTACTGTTATGAATCGTCATGTAAATATCTGATATGCAGGATGGTCTTAGGCGTCCCCTGTGAAAGGGTCGTTCGACCGCCAAAAGGGTCGCGACCCACAGGTTGAGAACCGCTGCTCTAGGATTTGATCTAGCACCATTCATATCTGACATTATCATTAAAAAGTGTAGGTAATTGTTTATCTGCCCACTAAGTGAACCCCCAAAATAAAAGGAAGATTCATCACCCAGGGCTTAACGACCTTGAATACGCAGAGCAAAGACCCTCTCTGGGTGAGTCAATGAGATGAACTAAGGGGCTTTCTCTGTCCTCTGTCCCCAAACCAAACCTATTTGTTTATTTCCTGTGTGAAACTATGTTTGTTGTCCTCATGGTCTCATCCATTTCTGTACTTCAGGCCAGAAAGAAAGCTCTTACCTCCTTCAGTATTTTCCCTATGAGGCAGGCGCAAGGCAGGAACCACGTTAACACTCAGGTGTGCTCCACATCCTGATTTCAGTTGGCGGAGGGATCCCTGGGTTGATCTTCCAGATCTAGAATCCAATAAATAAAGTACAGGCCTTGTCTGACACACCTCCTCCCCAAAAGGCAATGAGGGCGTCCACTGCCCTGGCCAAGCGTCAGGGCTCCCCGCCTCATGGCAGTAGGCACCCCAGGACCTCAGTCAGATCAGGCCTGCAGGAGGTTTGAGAGGGGAGACTGCATAGCCAGTACCTTCCTCATACGCAGCTAACTTCTGAAGACAGTTTCTCCACTGCTCACTCCCACTGTCCAGACTTTTAAACCTTCTTACTCTCCTGGATTAGGAGGCTATGTTTCCCAAGCCCTGAGCTCCTTAACCCAGAAATAGAAGAGTGCTGACCAGGCAGAGGGGACTGGGGGCTCAGGAGGCGGAGCCTGGAGGGGTCCATGCTGAAGCCAAGCAGGGGACAAAGGCATTCTTCCTTGTAGCTGGCTTGTTTCTGTTTGCAAAACTTGATTAAACCCCCTGCCCTTCCTCATTTACTCCTGTCATGGACACTTTTTCCCTAAGATATAACCAAAACCACTGTAAATCACTGTTCCCAGACAGCATAGTTTTAAAATAAATCTTAAGATGCCCATATATGTCCTGGTAGGTACTAAATATTCCTTGGGAATTTGCAAAGACACCTATACTCTGCTTACTAACATATAGTTAGTAGGTCAAGCTTGTTAATCACGTTACTCTAATCCTCTTTATCCGTATTCTTCCTGATCTGCCCATCTTTGAAAAACATGTTTTAGAGCAGCGGTTCTCAACCTGTGGGTCGTGACCCCTTTGGCGGTCGAACAACCTTTTCACAGGGGTTGCCTAAGACCATCCTGCATATCAGATATTTACATGATGATTCATAACAGTAGCAGTATTACAGTTATGAAGTAGCAACGAAAATAATTTTATGGTTGGGTCACAACATGAGGAACTGTCTTTAAAGGGCCAGAAGGTTGAGAACCGCTGTTTTAGAGATTTCTATATATATAGACTTAACAATTTATCCTTGGAGTTCTGAATCTTTGCATTATGTGTTTTGACACTATGTAATTAAATAATTAGATTAAACCATATAAAATCGCTATTGGCAATTACTAGTAGTTCATTATAATACATGAAGGTTTATGGTTGTTTTATTTTCTTGGTTGAGGGTGACCTGTCAAAATAAAATGAAACCCTTAGGAAGCCTTTTTGCTTTGATTTCTCTTTTGTCCAATATTAATATTTTCACATTGTCTTAATGCTTGTGAGTGGTTGACTGCTAACATTTTTCCTCCAAATTAACTAAAAGTTGACTGATACAATGCTCTATTATTGAGCGTATGAGGGAAAAGGCCCTCTCCATTCACTACTGGTGGGAATGTGGATTATCTCACATTTTTGGAATTAAACTAGATTAACTTTTAACTGTGACTTACAAAATTATAATTTTTACTTCACTAAATTTGTAATATGTAAACTCTTTGGTCCAGCAATCCCACTCTGAAGTATCTGATAAAACTATATACCCACACAAAAATGTATATAAAAATGTTCATTAACATAGTCTGTGATCATGAAATATTAGAAACCACTTTTAAAAAGTTAAAAAATTGTAGAATGGTTAAATATCTTCTTTTTTTCTTTAAGCAGATCAGTGCCCTTGCCGGTGGTTCAGTTGGTCATCGCGTGCACCACAAGGTTGTGGGTTCAGTTCCAGTCTGGGCACATACCTAGGTTGCAATTTTAATCCCCATTGCCTAAGGGAGGCAATTGATTGATATTTCCCTCACATCTATGTTTCTCTCACGCTCTCTATAGTCCTCCCTCTATCTCCAAAATCAATAAAAACACATCCTCCGTTGAGGAAAAAAGAAAAAAAAAAAGCAGATAAGTATCCTCTGTCATGAAAAGGCGCTCATGTTTTTTAAGTGAAAAGGCAAACTGTTGAAATAGAAGGGTGGGCAAGAGCAGGTTTACAGTTGTAACACAAATAATATAACAATAATAATACAAGAATAAACTATTTCATGTACTCACAACTATAAACCTATTTTTGCCCACCCCTTTCTAGCCTGAAGTATATTATTACTGCATTAGCCTCACAAATTACCTATTGACTATAACTAAACGATGGTAATTTTTTTTAAAGGCTTGAAATAGAAATGTTTCCTGTTGGGCACAAGCACAGAAGCTGAGCCTGCTCATTCAATCGCCCTTAATGGAGATATAATAACCATCGGGATCTTTTCCAAATCCTTCGGTATTAGATGAGTATTTTTGCAATAGGTGCAGCAGTAGCTTTTGGTTTTGAAGTCCCTGCAGCCATAAGTTTGACTTATGTTAATCAGTAAGCAGCTGATTACTTCCTCCAGTAGTAGATTAGATGATTTCTTATAACCACTTGAAATTTTTGTTCAGGTTTTTTTTGGGGGGGCGGGGGAGGGCGGTAGATCTTCATTTATTCAAGGTCTTCTTGATGACTTGCCTCAGCCAGAATTGGCTGGTAGGTTTCACCTTGTGTGACAACTTGGTGCACTGGGTTGAGATCATGAGACCACTTTTTGCTCAGTGGGAAAAGGTATCCTGCTCAGTTAGTGATGTCGGCTATGGAAAAAGAATGGACATTAGTGATGGCTGTGCATCTGCCATCAAGTCAGGACAGTAAAGCCTTATGTAACCTTTGAAAATCCACTAAGGTACCTACCCTTAATGTGTGAAGGAAAACTCTATTTCTCCCTCTTTAAGTTTAGTGAACCTGGTTTGTGTATTTAACTGGACAAAAGACAGATTAACAGGAAGAAAGGAAAACAATTTTATTAATTTTGTATGTGCACAGGAGTGGGGAAAAGTATCACTATTTAATATATTGGCATTGCCCTGATGTCCCAGCATCATAAGAAAGAGAAATCAACAAATGTCCCACTCCCCACTGCTGCCTCTCTTGTTCTCCCTCCCTTCCATCCTCCCTCCTCCTCATAGGTCTGAATGAGGACTATCTCACGCAGATTTTCCACCTGTCGGTTCCTCTAAGATTGAAATTTTATGCTAAATGTTCATGTGGGGATGGAAGATCCACATGGATTCTCAAAGGGGGATGATGACTCCAAAAGAGGTGAAGACAGTGGCATGGAGCATGTCAGACAACTCTGTTCCTCACCATGTCCTAGGCCCTACGTGGTGTCCGTTGAGCACCTCCTATTGAATCCTCCCATGGGGACTACAATGAAGTGCTGAGCCCAGACTTGACACTAGCGGGGGTTCAGTGAGTGAATCCATGCAATAGCCAATGCTGAACTGTCCAATTCCACCCCTTAACTCTTACTTCCTCATCTATCAGAAAGAGGAGAGGGTTCTATGATTTATTTTACTCTGTGCCATTAAAGGATATTTTTAGAAAGAAAATATAATCATGACCTCTTCTGCACTTAGGGGGGTAGGGGGAAAGAGAGAGGGAGAAGTTCTCTGGTATCTTTCATAAGAGCACTAAGCCGATCATGAGGCCCCACTCACATGACTGTATCTAACCCTAATTATTTCCCAACCGCCCCCATTACATTGTGGGTTAGGGCTTTAGCATATACATTTTGGGTAACACAAATATTCAGTCCATACCACTGAGCAAATTAGTGAAACTGTGAGTCTTAGTTTCTTCCTGGAACTCATTATACCTACCTAGAAGGGTCTTCAGAGGATTAAATAAATTTTAATGTACATGTATAAATCTGCTTAGGCTGAGTTATGCTATGGAAACAAATGACTCCCAGAGGTCAACGGCTTACAACATCCAAGGGTACTTGTTCATGTTCACATGCTCAGCATGTCAGCTGTGCTCTGCTCCACATCTTTATTCCAAGAGCAATATGGAAGAAGTGGCTTCCGTCTGGGACAGGCAGGTCTCATGGCAAAGGGAACAGAGAGATGGTGGAACCTCTCAGGGGCTCTCAGAACTGCTCAGAACTGCCATCACTTGCGTTCATATTTCAACAGCCAAAGCAAGTCATGGCCAAGCGAATGCAAAGTACAGTCCTTCCATAGGGACAGGCCAAATGAATATTTTAGCAATCACACAATCTATCACAGTATATAAAAGTATAACCAGTAACTACCAGTGTCCTTCCCTCCGGATCCTGCTGAGGAAGACAGTGGTAGAGCATGCCAAGGCAGGGTGAAGCCACAGTTAGCAGTCTAGATTCTGGAGATGACTGCCTGAGTTTGAATCCGGACTCTGCCATTTTCCAGCTGTGTGACTCTGGGCAAGTTTATTTAACTTTTGTGCCTCAATAGCCTCCTCTGTAAAATAGGAACAATAACAGTATCTATGCCACAGAGCTGTGGATTAAGTTAGTTCATGTAGGTAAAGTGTTTAGAGCAGTGCCTGGCGTATAGTAAACCCTATATAATTAACTACTGCTACGGCTGCTGTTATTGTTATTACTGAAGAAGCCTGGCTTGAAGTCAAAAGTTGATTTAAAATTCCAGCTTATCGCCCTAATCGGTTTGGTTCAGTGGATAGAGCGTTGGCCTGCGGACTCAAGGGTCCCAGGTTTGATTCCGGTCAAGGGCATGTACCTTGGTTGTGGGCACATCCCCAGTAGGGGGTGTGCAGGAGGCAGCTGATCGATGTTTCTCTCTCATTGATGTTTCTAACTCTCTATCCCTCTCCCTTCCTCTCTGTAAAAAATCAATAAAATATATTTTAAAAAAATAAAAAATAAAATTCCAGCTTATCATTCTGTTAATAACCTTGAGCAAGTCACTTAATTTCTGAGTATTGGTTATTTTTTCATCTGTAAAATTGAAGTAGCACTCATTTCTAGAGAGGCAGTATAGGGCATGGTCTCCGGACCTGGACTACTTGGGATCTGATTCCAACTATACCACTTTCAAGCTGTGTGAGTTGAGGCAAGTGACTTAACCCCTGTGTGCTCCAATTGCATTACCTGTAAAATCAGAATAATAATCACACCTTGTGTTCATAGGAATGTTGTGGGAGTTAAATGGTTTATTCCATTTCTAAGTTTTATCCTTCAGATATATATGTATATGTGTGTGTGTGTGTGAATATATATATATATATATATATGAATGTAAATGTGTTAGAACAGTGCCTGGCTCTGGGGAAATGACCAGTAACTGGATGGCACACATAGGTGCTTAGTAAGTTTCACTAGTGTTCTTTTCTCACAGGGCTTTGAGGATTGACTAAATAATAGGTATGAAGGTGCTTTATATAATGTACTAGTCAGGTGTGAGGACAGGAATCTG